ATGCCACAAATTCAGGACTAAGAAGGAAGCTCGTACTGATACAGGCCTACCTCAAGAAACAAGAAAAACATCAAATAAACTGTCTAATTTTATATTTAAAGGAACTAGAAAAAGAAGAAGAAAGACCAAGGTTTGTAGAAACAAGTAAATAATAAAGATTTGAACAGAAAGAAATCAAAGAGAGACTAAAAGAAAAAAATATAAAAGATCAATGAAACTAAGAACTGGTTCTTTGAAAAGACAAAGCCTTCAGTGAGACTCAGTAAAAAGAAAAAAAATGAATAAAATCAGAAATGAAAGAGGAGAAATTGTAACTAATACCACAGAAAAAGGGTTGTAAGAGAATACTGTCAACAATTACATGCCAACAAATTAGACAAACTGGGAGAAGTGGCTGAACTCCTAGAAACAAACACTCTCTTATGACTGATCATGAAGAAATAGAAAATCTGAACAAATTACTAGTAATGAAATTGAATCTGTTTCCCAACAAACAAAAATCCAGGTTTTAATGTCTTCACAGGTGAATTCTACCAAATGTTTCAAGAAGAGTTAATACCTATCCTCAAATTAGTCTAAAAATCGAAGAGAAAGGAACACTTCAAACTCATTTTATGAGGTCAGCATTACCCTGATAACAAAAAAAGAAAACTGCAGGCCTGTATTCCTGATGCACATAGATGCAAAAATCCTCAATAAAATTTAGCAAATTGAATTAAAAAACACATTAAAAGGATCATATACCACGGCCAAGTGGAATCATTCCAGAGATGCAAGGATGGTTTAACATTGGCAAATCAGTCAACATGATAAACCATGTTAACAAAATGAAGGGTAAATATGAAGTGATATCTTAGTAGATGCAGGAAAAACATATGACAGAATTATGCATCAATTTAAAAACTCTCAACCAAGTGGATAGAGAGGGAATGTCAATGTAATAAAGGCCATATATGACATATCCATAGGTAACATCATACTCAATGATGAAAAGATGAGAGCCAGAGAGGGGTGGTGGGGGGCAGATGAAACAGGTGAAGGTGATTAAGAGGCATGGACTTTTAGTTATAATGTAAATAAGTCATGGGCATGTAGTGTACAGCATAGGGGATGTAGTCAGTAATATTGTACATACTTTCTGTGGTGACACATGGTAACTAGGTCTATTGTGGTAAGTATTTTGTGATGTATAAAAATATTGAATCACTGTCTTATCCACTTGAAACTAATATAATACTGTATGTTAATTATAATTCAATAGAAAAAACAAATTTTATCATAGGGTATGTATGTATGTATAGGAAAAAACTGTGTATCGGGTTTGGTATTATCTGTGGTTTCAGGCGTCTCCCTGGGGGGCTTGGAATGTATCCCTTGCAGATAAGAGGGAACTGCTATAATCCTCTGTTCAGCATAGGTTTCAGTGTTTTAGAAGCAGTTTTTCTTTTGGTTAATGGAGTGTGACACAGAAAACACTTGAAGGATGCCGGAAAGTAAATGTTTAATTTGGCCAAGACACATTACAAGAAGAGAGAACAAGAGGGAAGCAGATGGGAGAGGACACTGCAGACAAGGAGCTTTTAAAGCTGGAAGGTTGCAGTTAGAACCCAGGTGGATAAGGAGAGCCTTGTTGAAAACTCAGATTCCTGGGCCTTAAGAGCCCAATTGAGTGAGTCACAGGTGGGACTTAGGGGCTGTCTTTTGACACATTAACAGAAAATGTTCTTAGCTCTCACTTGGTGAAACAAAATGTGAATAACTGTTTTAAAATAAATACACATTTTAATAATTTGGTGTAAAATGAAACCACTGCATAATACTGATGTTGGAGGACAGAATAAAAAAGTATATTAAGTACATTCAATTCCGGATATTTTTGTCATTTCAGTTACATTTGGGGATATATCCAAATCCTTATTTGTATTCAAAATATGTAATGATTTTGACCCTTGATTGTTCTGGGTAAGGCTTGTCATCTACTGTGTCTGACTAACTGTTGTGTTGGTACGAATATGTTTTGGCCTTATTGATGTTTAGCAAGAGCCGATGACTCTCTCAGCCCTTTTTTACTCACTTACAACGAGGTTATCATTACAGGTTTGTTTGGAAGCTTAGAGATAACATTAATGAATTTCTTAACACATAATAGTTGCTCAATAAATACTAACTCTCAAAACAGATTTAGTTTGAGGTTTTCCTGAGACTTTCATTTGAGGAATAGAAACTTAAGATTTCAGAATTCCCATCCATCTGATCTGTAAAGCCCACCTTCTCAGTGGAAGCGTCCCTGATACTCCCTTCTGCATAAGATAGTTTCTTCCTCTGAAGTCCATAGCTCTTCCCTCATTCTCTTGATTTATTGCAAAGAGGTTGCACCATTTGTGTACATGCTTCTTCCTGGATGGAGCATAAATTTCTCAAGGTCATACTTTTTTTACTCCAGACAAGTGCCTTGCAGAATTTCTTTCCAAAGCACATATTCAGTAAGTGTGTTGATGACTTGACTAATATTTAGACAATTATGGCATCATTTTACAACATTTTAGATAGTGTTGCCTACTCATTTATAAATTTAGAATTTTGTGACAACTTTTGTAAAACCAAGTGTAGGAATAGCCATTTACTACGTATGCATTTTTTCCATTAATCATGTCACGATATGAAAAATGTGCCGGAGTAAGAGTCGTCTGTAATTTCGATGATGTGTTTCACATGTGACATCCAAATGAAATATAAAACTGTGTGTTGGCATGTGGCTGTGGTGAACAGAAGCAGTTGTTACACATTACTTGGTAAAATTCATATTCATATCTTGTCAGTTTACAGTGAGCCAGAGGTTAAAAATAACATTTGTTTCTGCTTTAGTAACTGCTTTAAAAAATAGCCCAAATAATTTCATTTTCTTTGGTCTGATTTCTAGTAGTCTGATTTTTTAATATGTGGTCTTTCAAGTGGTGATGAAATGCATCAATGTGGCTTGGCAATGCGTTAACAGGACCTGCCTCTAGGATTATTTTTAATGATTAAAAGTCAAATTGAGTTTCTTTAAAAAAAAAAAAAACTCACCCAAAATACAGATGAGCCAAGCAAACCCAGAAAGAAATCTGTGAATGAAATGTGGTCCACATCTATTTCCTCCAGATACCTTCGTAATTGCCCATTCACAACTACAGTCAGAGCAATAGAGATCACGTGGCGTGATTTACTAAGGCATTTTTCTCATTCACCCTCATCAGTGTTAACTAAAGTGCCCACTGTCGTTATCCATGGTTTTCTGGTTGGGGATACAGTCATCAGATCTGTTTTCTGCAGCCAGCTTTGGCAGCAATCTAAGAGCTACTTGGTGGACCGTGGAGACAGAGGGCAGGAGGGGGGGAGCCAGGGAGGCAGCAGTGCTGGGTGGAGGGGAGTGGGGTGGACAGGGGAGGAAGGATTCGAGGCGCATAGCCTAGAAGTGGATTTGATAGGGTTTGGAACCAGCTCCCAGGGGCAAGGCAGAGGTGCTGATGTTGGTGTTTTCGGTTTGGGCAACTCAGTGATGTCAGAGTACTAGGAACTAGTGAATCCATAAAAACATGGGGCTTCAGAGTCCCTCTCAGCACCAGCACTGCTTCGTGGCCTCCCTGATGACTGGGTAGCCTTCCCCTGCTTGACTGGCCGTCTTTGCTACTGGCACTTTGCCTGGGTGGTCCAGGGTGTTGGGTGCTCAGGGATGAGAACAGGGGCTGTGGAAGTCACCAGTGTGAATGTGGAGGGAGGCCAAAGGGAAGTGTTAGTCCAGAGCTGAGCTATTGTAAAGTGTGCAAGGCAGTTTAAAAAATCCTGCCCTCCTCAAATTACTGTCTTCAGATCTAGAGAGCAATGGCAGAAGTTTGTGTTCACCACCCGAGAGCACCGACCCTTCACTGAGTAGTAACAGTGCATGCCGAGGGGGTCTGCCAAGATACAAAAAGAGCACAGGGCTTCATAAACTATAATGACTTCAGTGTTGCCATAAGCAAATATTTTAAATACACTAAAATGGGAACATCAGGAAATATGACTAAGAAGTAAGTATGTGACACACCCTTTCCCCCACCTTTGTGGTTGTGAAAATTTCCACCAAGAATGATAAAGAAGGTTAAGCTCTAGCTGTTAAGTTCCAGAGGAGCCAAAATTTACATGGTTCTGTAAATCCAGTGATGGAGCTTGCAAATGAGAATCCAGTATTTAAGTTAGATAGTCTGTCACAGTAATCAGGTATGAACCATTATAATGCTTTCATTTCTCCGCTTCTGAGCAGAAACTTGGCATGATAAAAAACAAACAGCAACAGAAAACAGGTCTGCTTTTAACCATGTCACTTGGAAATACACATGCCTCCAGTTTATTTGATTTGTGTCAGAGAAAGGGGAGTTCAAAGGAGAATAAAGTGCCTCCTGAGTCTGACACAGTATAGAAGGTTGTTATTATCAGGACACTTGGTTGTACCATTTATACCAAGTATGTAACACAGCTTTTCAAAGAGTAATTATACTAAGAGAATAGGCTGGATTCTTCTGTAGCCTGTGGTCCACAGACCTGCTAATATTCACTAACAGCATTTTGTGGCATTCACACTGAAAGCAGAACTGAAAGCAGAAGTACAGAACACTTCCAATTGGGCATGGGGCTGCAGGTAATAAATGTCATTAAGAATATCTGAGCATTTAGGAGGAGCAATTCATGATCTGGGTGTACCCAAAATCTATCATTTTTTTTTTTTTTTTTTTTTTGCCTAGAGTTAGTATACTATCCTGCTTTCTTCTAAAATCAGTTCGTATTAGGATGGACCTCATTCCCTCTAAGAATGTCACAAATAAACTAACATGAAGCTTCTCTGGGATTATACTTTACTATTCTCTTGAAAAATATCTAAAACTGGTGGTTGAATTAGACTGCTAATTTTGGTTTAATCTTACAACTGCAGGGAAAGGTGTTTAAAAATCAAATTAACATAAAAATACATCTGTATTCTTTAGTTTCCACCCAATCAAGAAAAATGGGAGCAAGCATGATAGTCTGTGTTCGGCACCATGGGAAGAGCTGGGAAAGGTTCTCCAGACTGTCTTGAGAGCGCTCACCATCTACTAATAGCTGTGAAAGGTGGGACTCACACACATGAAACGACATCACTCCCTGTCAGGGTGTGTACACATGAAAGTCCACGTTGGTGGGGGTCCCTGCCAGAGGCACTTGAGGAAAGGGAAAGCTGGGCAGGTTCAGATGTCTTGAGCTGGGCATTGGAAAATGATTAAGATTAATCTAGAAAGGTATGCAGCATGTTTTTATGATTCTGGGTTAGCCGGAGGAAAGCCATCTTGGTGGCAAAAATGACGGGTAGAGGTGTGTCTGGTCCGAGAGCTGTGAGTTTGAAGTTTTTGAAACCCACCTCCTTGCCTTAGTGGGGTTTGAAGTTTTGAAACCCACCTCCTTGCCTTAGTGGGGTGCCAAGAGATGACAGGCACGTTCACTGTCCTTGTTCCATAAACTGTGATTTCAGAGGAATGAAGAGGGAATATGGGCTGAGAACACATTGAGTTTTGTTTATGAAACATCTGCTAGGTCTCCATCCTTGTTTAAGGATGTCGTTTGCAAATACACAAGAACCAAAAAACTGGACTTCACAGCATCCAGCATACATGGCTTTTGAGTGAGACTTCTTTTTCCACGGGGCAACCAATCTGCTTTGGGAGACGAAAGCATCTCCCTGCACTGCACATATCATAGGGTGAGCTCCACACTGGTTCATCGAGGAACACTCTGAAACAGAGAAGAGGATGTTTCATGATTTTTGGAGTAACTGCTAGGAGTTAGAATCTGGATTACTGCCAAGCTCAGTAAACTGTTAGTTGGAAATAAGGCTGCATAGTGAGGAGTTAAGAGAGAATTTTTGAAGTCAGAGAGCTAGAAGTTGGAGTCCTGAATTTGTCACTTAGTTAGCCCCTTGAATACATCATTTGGCCCTATCTACCTCCATTTCTTCATTTATTAAAAATAGGATAATAAAATGAAATGAAATCCTATAAAGAATAGGATAGTGTCCACTACCTAGGATGGTTGTAAGGGTAAAAGGAGATAATGTAATTTGAACACCTAACCCTCAAATACTGTTATTATTGCATGTGGACATTAACACCCAAAGATAACCAGTGTTTTTAGTTCTTAATAAATAGTTAATGGTTATGATTACATATTTTACTTCATTAACTGATTTTATGAAAGAGAGCTTTCTGAATCTCTTTCAGAGTACTTAAAAAGTTTATTGTCATTCAGTTAAAACAAATCCTTACTAGATTATTAAACCCTGGTCGGAAGAAAGCATTTGCTAAAGAAGTCTAAAATGTACACTTTTCATAGAGTGTCTTACCTGGTAGAATTCAAGTACACAAATGTTTTTTCTGAACAGCTCACCCTTTGCTACTGTCCCTTTATGGTTACTGTCACAGGCCTGCCAGCCCCTGTTCAGTTGAACCCAGTGGCTCCTAGAGACTGCAGAAGCTGCTTAACCTTGCAGAAGCTCGGACAAGAAAGAAACTGCATTCTGTGCTTTACTTCTGGGAGGATTTGGAGAGCTTGGAAGGTTGGCTCAGTCAGCAGTTCTCACTCTGAGAACCCCCAAGAACTTTTTGGGTAGGAAGGGGGGGTCTCAAGGTCCAGCCTGATGTTATAGTAGTACCAAGACGTTATTTACTGTTTCATTCCCACTTCTCACAGTGTAGAGCGGAGTTTTTCAGAAGCTACATTGTGTATGAGGGTGTATAATAAAATTTATAGACATTTGGAAGATTTGTACAACTTGGTGAACTAAGGTTATTTTCCAGGTGATTAGTGCCTGGTGTTAGAAAATCATGCATAGTGAAAGATCCATTCAGAGTGCAAGATAAACTAGCGAAGTTTAATATAAAAGACTACACAGAGTTCACTGATGTTTCAGATTCCACATTGCCCCTATCCTTTATGAAACTTCCACTTGTCAAATTTTGGTGTAACTTAAAGAAGAGTTTCCACAATTACCTGAAAACGAAGGCCAGGCTTTCTCCCGACACTTCGACCAAACAACAAACGCAGCAAATGGATTCAGAGGCACATTTGAGAATTTAACTGTTTTCTATTAAACCAGACATTAAAGAGATTTGCAAAAATTTAAGTCAGTGTCCCTCTTCTCACTAAGTTTTATGTTTTGAAAAATATAGTTATATTTTCATAGAGGTATTTTATGTAACATGCAACAGGTATGTTATTCTTTGTACCAAATATATATTTTAATATTCTGTCTTAATTTCTAATACAAAAAATATGCTTAAATATAATCTATGTCATTGAAAGCTCTTTGGGGTCCTTAGTACCTTTAAGGAGTGTAAAGGGACCTTGAGATCAAAAAGTTTGAGAACCACTAGCCTAATAGTGTATTGTTCACTAGGGTGCATTCCAGTCAATGTATATCTACTGGTTGCTTATTTCTTCTGGAAAAAGTGTTCTGTGGTCAAATATATTTTGGACCAAGGTGCATGCTTTCTCCTCTCTTAGAGATTTACAATACATATCAACACACCAAAGTCTTTCAAGTGTTTCCCAAGTTTTTTTCCATCTCCTCTTTTTATTTTTAGCATAACATAATGTTCCACACTGGAATATAACATACAACACACTGGCTAATGTATGATATATGCTACCTGCTCCTCACGTTTCAAAAATAAAGGACAAGGCTTATCAGGTATGGATTTCCTTTAAACCCATACTTTACTTAGAAGAGTTCCGTGCAAGTTTACCAGCTAATCTGATTGACTGACTGTAAAAAGAAAACCAAACATACTTTACCACATTATCCGATTTTGCTTATAATCTTCAAAGCTGCTTCTGCTTACATTTCCAAACTTACATGTTTGTAAAGCTCGGTTTTAGACAATTTCATGTGTTAATTAATAGGCTCCTTGTGTCATAAGACAAAGTCATCTCATCCTCACACAAATTTTCCAAATTGCAGGTTAAATGCTGGCAGCCTAGCTGCAGAGCTATTACTACTGTTTGGTATTTTTAAATGGCAAAAAATACCTTTGGTGATGCATCATCATAAGCCTTTATAAAACACAGTTGCCTTTTGTTAACAGGAATATTTATAAATGGCTGTGAGTTTTGTTGTAAGATTTTTTATGAGTCTTTCTTTCCAGTTCTTTTGTTACGGTGGGTTGTGAGCATAATCCTAACAGTTAAAACAAAAGAAAAGTATTTCGCAGGAGGGATGAAGAACATGTTCCTGGCTGCCTCTTGATGGGCATTCCCCTCCTAAAAAATAAGAGTGATACAGTAACCAGTGATAATTCCTTTCTGACTGCAGGGCCCTTCTGAGTCTGCACTGAGGCAGAAGCACAGAGAGAACTTTCGCTTTCTGTATTTCACATGTCTGTCAGGGAGAGAATAAAAAAGTCCTAATTTGTTACAATAATTAAAGGGACAATAGTCATTGTATCTTAAGTAGTCAAAAGCTTTTGTTTTTATGTTTTGGTCTTGCTATTTCCTACTTAAAAACTTCTTACTGTTTGAACCCTTAGTGACTTTCTATTGCCAACTGAAAATTGATTTTCTTTCATTATTTAAAAATTCAAAGAGAACTCTGTGGCTCTTAGTATGTTGGTGTTTCTCACCGCTGAGGAGTTTTAGGGAGAACTCTTTAAATGTGCAAAAGGATATTCAGTCTATAGGAATGTATATGAGAGCATTTGCAACCTGTGCTGGAAGTTCTCTCAAAGTTAAACCTACCAGATTAACCAGACTGAAACTGAAGAAACATACTGAGGTTACTCTTCAAAAAGCAAGAGGCCACTTTTCCATCTTCTTGGACAGTTGAGTTTAAGATTGTAGTATATTTGAGAAAAATACATAGATGTAAGTAAAAAATAGAAGAATGAGAAAGCTCTGTGGCAGGTTGAGAAGTTGGGGGGGAGATGCACGCGGGTCATTGTCTATGTAAATTCTGTGATGTTAGCACCTTCTGCAGTGGAAAAGTCAAATTTAAAGTATGCCCATCTGAAGTGAAAGAAAAGGTTATTCTAGAGGGACCTTATCGTGCAGTCATTCAGAGTCTGAGCCCTGCGGTCTGGGGCCCACCCCCACCACATGTGTGGGCAAGTGATATAACTTTCTTCTGACTCAGTTTCTCCAAATATAAAAAATCATGTAAAATTCTCAGAACAGTGCCTTGCACATCCTAACTCTTTAAGCTATTTGATATGTCACAAATTACCCCAAAACTTGGTGGCTTAAAATAACAAATCTTTGTTGCCTTAGTTTTGAGAGTAGGTGATGCATCATCATAAGCCTTTATAAAACACAGTTGCCTTTTGTTAACAGGAAGATTTATAAATGGTGTGGGGTCTCTGGCTCAAGGCCTTCCCTGTGGTTGCGGTGAAGCTGTTAGCCCGGACTGCAGTCTCATCTGAAGGGTGATGTGAAACCTGCTTCCCAGCTCACTCACGTAGATGCGAGCAGGCCACATGGGCCCCTTCACGGGGCTGCCTCACAGTCTGGCAGGTGCCCCCTCAGAGTGAGTAATCTGCAAGAGAATGCAAGGGAGTGCCCACCTTTTTGTTACCCAGTCTTGGAAATGATGTCTCATCACCTTCACACTCTGTTTGCTAGAAAAGAATCACTAGGTCCAGTCTACGGTCTGGGGAGGGACCGTACAAGGGCACAAACCCGAAGAGGTGAGATCTCGAGGGAGCATCCTAGCAGTTGCCTAAGACTGTAACTCGTACTTTAACTTTTATCTTCAATCCACTGGGCTGTGAATTCCAAACTTACATATCCAGCTGACTCCTTAATCTTTCCCTAAGATGTCTAATAGGCATCTGAAATTTAACATGGAAAAATGGAGCTCCCGGACACCTGCTGCTTTCCCAGTCTTTTCCATCTTGGTGAATGGCAACTCCATTCTTGGAGGTGATCCCGTCAAAAACTTGGAGGGATCCATCTTTAACTATGGCTTTCTCTTACACTACTTGTCAACTTAACCTTCAATATACATCCAGAATCTCACCTGTTCTTGCCACCTCCTCCCCCAGTGTCACCACCTTAGTCCCCACTGGGTGTCACCTGAAATTTTGCAGTAGCCTGACCAGGTTCTCAGTTTTCAACCTTGTCTCCCCCATGGCCTGTTCTTCACACAACAGAATGATCTCTTAAAACTTGAGGCATATTATATTGTTCCCTTCAAAGTTCTCTAGTGTCTTCCCATTTGACTTAGAGCAAAAAGCCAAAGTCTTTACAATGGCCTACAAGGCCCTTCATAATATTAAAATTATTTTTCTGTGATACACTGTATATATATATGGCACTATTATATATATGTTTGTGTAAACACATATGTATATGTGTGTTTAATTATTTATTAAAACTTATTTTCTGAATCATGTAAGATAGCGCTCTCTTTCCAAATCAAGAGCTGATTTTCCCAGCACTCTTTATTGAATAGAACACCCATTCTACTCAGGTGATATTCCACTGTGGACCTATTTCTTCCTATGCAATGTGTCTAGTTTTTGAATTCTAGAATAAAGATGTAACTGATAGATTATACAAGATACAATTGTATTTTTCAGAGATTTTATTTGATATGGCATAAATACATATAAGAACAACTTGAATTATAATTGGAATTAATTATGGAGACGATCTGCTTATGTCCCTTTATTTGATAGACAAGGCACTCATTTTCCTTAAGAGATTGAGACTAAAATTTGAAAATCCAGTTATCTGTAAAACTAAGACTACAAAAACAAAATCTCATGCATGACTTTTAGACCACTGTTTCTGACTGTGTCTCTGTGCTATACTTTGTTGCTTTTATATGTAACTGCTTCAAAGATTATCACAAAGATACTTATTCAGTTTTAAAACCCTGTGAGGATGGCCTTTGGAGTGAAATCCTTGTGTATATAGCTAACTTTTGGCGTGCAGACATATCTGGGAATTCTCTCAGCCCCTTGTGGTCTTTTCTGCTTTCTGGACTTCTGGTCTTACCTCTATTTATAACTTCAACTGGCAAACAAGAACGGATAGGCAAAGGAGATTAAACCCACACCAGCTCAGGTTGGTTGGTTATTAGCAGCACTGCCAAAAAGGCTGCAAAGGAGGGAAGTATATTGCCATTGCTTAAAAGGAGGTGTGTAGAATTTTCAGTGGTTTTCTTTTCATAAGAATTGTCTCATTCTTGTTGCACTATGCCTAATGGGGTGTCAGTTATAAATGACAGAATGAATCACTTCCAACTCCTTCTTATTTACAGAGATAAGAATGGAAAAATCTTGTCACTTAGATGAGTCCTTATTTTTTTTTTTCTCCTCCACAAATAGCATAAGCCTGGCTCCTCAGGATACCTGGCTTTGGTACCCAGCGAGGAATCCTGAGCTAATAACAAAGCCACTATGTCCTTCCCAGATAATTTTGCTCCGCTTGGTGACAAAAATATAATCCGAAATGAGTTTCTTTCTTTAGGGCAGAAGCAACACAGACAGAAAGTACAATGAGAGGGTGGTGTGCGTCTGGTCAGCTGTTCCAACCGACACCACAATGCACTCCGTTCAGTGATGTTACGGACACTGGGAGTCGGTGGGCATGCATGATATACCCGGACTCTAGTAAAGACTCCAGTTAACTTGCTGTGTGACTTTAAGAGGTCTGTCAACCTCTCTTGGCCAGGAGCTTCGTTGGCTGAGAATCATTGAACTCAATAACAAAGATGCTTCCAGTTCTAAAAATACCAAAATATGAAGCTGGTAACAAATAAGAGAAAGGCAGTGATTTATTTTTAGTAAAAGAGGATTGGTATCAGCCTAATAACTCACAGTGGGCCTGCTTAAGTTCTCCTCTTTCCAAATTCTTTTTTTTTTTTTTTAACCAAAACGGTATACTAAAGACAGTTTGTAGTGCTCTGAACTTCCTGGCTTTTGTTGATGTGTATCAATATGTTACTGTTACACATTTGAGTGAGAGTCAAGTTACATTTCATGAAAATGTCTCAGAAACTAATAAAAGTGTTGCTACCCCACTTTTGGTGTATTGATAGCATCAGGAAAATAAAGAAGACTGTCATTTTCAGGCAGCCACTCTTTCAGCTACACTGAAAATATAATGGCCTTAAGTTCAACTTACTTGCTTAAACATTAACCAAGAACAGTTTTCTCTTCCTCCTCAAAAGTTTTAAGTGCCTCCATGAATTTAACCATAGACGTACGCAACCCCCAAAAAGTTCTTTTAAAAAATGCTGAGTCTTCTGAAAAGTAATAGCTTCAGAAAGCTTTCAAGGAATTGGTCCTTCACTAGGGAGGCATAAAAGCATATCCTTTCTTTTACAACTGGGTCATCTGGTGATCAGACCTTTGACAATTGCCTCAGGACCTTTGGAGATTCATAGAGAATTTAGCGTTACAAGTAGGATGTGGTCACCCTGGCTAGAGAACTGAGTGATGACTTTCCAATGGGCTTTCAAAATAGATGAGGAGGTGCTCATAAGAGGCTAAAAAAAGATGCAGACATCTTTTGAAGACCGTTTCCATGCTCTCAAATGGCCATTGTCAAAAAAACCCACAGTGGGACGGATTTGACTAGAGCCGCAGAAGAAGCTAGAACACTGACAAGCGAGTGCGATAAACTCACAAGGCAGAAGAGATCTTTTTAGGGCAACCTTGTCAAACACGGCTTGAATGTGTAGGCTTTGTCAGCTGCTCTGAGTAGGGGAAGAGGCATGCATATTTTAACCATTCATTTCACATTCTGTTTGTAAAGTAAATGCTGCTTTCCAACTTGGGTGGAGAAGGTATTTATCAAGATTTAACAAGAGTCAGAATGAAAACCCATCAATTACCTATTTGTAGTACAAAATGGAAAATTTCCTCTCTCTTATGCTTGATGTTTCTTGTTCCACTCTAACAGCCCATTACTTAAAAATATTAATATTAGATCAACCAATCTGAGTCTTTCAGGGGCAGAATCAGATGCATTTTAATTTGAAACAATACTTTCTCCACCTCCTCCCCTCGGTTACTGCACATCAGTTATCTTTAGATATGTAAACATAATGGATCCTCTCCATTTACTTACTTCAGTTAGTGAGATGGAAATTTTGCATGTACATTCCTGGTCTGGATCATAATTTTCAAGATCCATAAGAGCTTTGTTTTCTTTCACTCTTCCTCCTCCCCTCCCCACCTCCAACATTTTAGGGCACAATATGTAGATCCGTCGTGTGATAGCTTCATTCTGGTAATTAACATGCTTGTTTGAGGTTATAAAATATACATCTGAGAAAGGCCAGGGATTTCCCCCTGAATATCAACTAACTGCTTGAAGTGGCATTTTCATTCTGACTTGGTGTTTTGTTTCGCTTTGCTGCAGCATACTGGAACACAATGAAAGAGTTTATTTTGTGGCCTCAAAAGTAGTGTGCTACAGGCCATGAGCAAGAGAGAAAGAGTGGACTTCAGCCTGCATGCATGGTCTTGCAACACAAAGGGATCGGGTAAGTCATCCAGAGGACTTGGCATTGATTAGCTTCGAATTTCATCAATCATCATTTATTTGGTGTCCCAGGACATCTTATTCAATTGCATGGTTGTTTCTCTACAGCCCAAGCAACAGGATGTTTGAGAAAATGTTGTTCTAGTGATGGAGAGCCAAGAGAGCAGCTAAACTAACTTGGTGTGTTTGTTTCTTAAATTTGCAGAATAGTAGGATCTGAGTAGAGTGCATTATGTAGTTGGAAAAGACCAAAAAGAAAAATGCACAAATAAACAACTAAAACCACAAACTGCAAACAAACCATATCTTCCAGGTACTCCATTTTAGTGGAAAAAAGAAGGGATTAATCATACAGGGGACAGTAGGTTCAACCTGACATCAAGTCTGTTACCGTGTCGTAAAGTATTGGGATGGGCAAGGTGGGAGACATTGGGAGTTTACAAGTCCTATTCAGCAAAGGTTTCTTGAGTACCTTTTAACTAAGCATGACAGTCAGTCTTGGTTTGGGGGTGGAATTAAACCTCCAAACTACAAATAAATTCCAAAACTATCCATCAAAATAATGTGGACTTCAAGGAAGTTTTATCAGCCTTGTTCATTGTATTTCTTGGAAATAGTGTTCTCAGATGGAGGTTCAGTTCTGCCCAATTTCTGTCCTGGTGACCTCGGACAATTTACTCATCCTCTTAGAATAAGTCACCAGTAAAAAGATGAGTATGTGCTTCAGGGATCTCCAAGGTCTCTTATAAATTTAGAATTCCACAGTTCACTCTAGTGAGATTAATTAAATAGCTGTACCCTTTGATTCTTGCTCAGCTGAGTATATTGGGTCCCTTGGCAAGTCCTCATTTGCAGGGGGGCTCCTGGGACCAGCCAGTGTGGAGAAAGGGGGCACGTGGAGGTCTCCTCCCTCTGGGCACCAATCCTATGAACCAGCCCTTTGGTCACACAGGCCTCGCAGTGTCTAGGTTAATAATTTATTCCCTGGCAGCATTAAGGAAAAGGTGCCGCAGGTCATATGAACATAATATTTGATTACAGGGGATAGGCATCTTTTGAATTATTGTCCTTTATTTTTCTGTTGGGGATCTACCTGCTTCCTTCTGCTGTGCCGTCACTGTGTTGCCGGTGATCTGCCGATCCTTTAACCCCATGGGGCCCCAAACTTTGTTGTATGTTGAACAGAATTTATTCTTTTTATTTCTTACTGAACATCCCTTTTCTGAAGCAGAGCTGTGAATGACACTTAAAATGATGCTCAGATGTCACTCTTGTCAGCAGCTGGCTGTCTGCCTCAGAATGGTGCATTATTTGGGTTTCTTAACAGCAGTTTTTTTCTTACAGATGTTAAATTATGAAGTGCAGGAAACCACATGAATGCGGCAGAATGAAAATGCATAGTGTTATCTGGAAATGCCAGTATTGTGATTTCCTGGTGACAGTCTTCTGCCTGCAGTCAACAGATGAAGCCCTGTTACCTGTTTGGTAGCAGCCTTCTGGCTCATGTCCTCACCTTCATTTAATGCTGTGGCCCCCTTGTCACCTGAATCTGGAGGTTTGATTAAGACAACTGCATGGGGATGTTCTTCCAATCCAAACCCTGCCTGGCTCACGATGTGCAGGACTTCACTGACAGAGCTTTCTTTTACAAGCTCCTATAATGCCTAGAGCCCGTGTCACAAAGAATCTCTGGCTATGTATTGCTTTGTGAGTGTTGGCTGTCACCCCATCTGGGTTGCAAACTGCTTGAGGGCAAGAATCAGATCATAGCCCCGTGCTTCCCAAAGGTGGTCTAGCCCAAGGACTTTTGGGACGCATGTATTCTGGGACTTCTGGGACAGTTGCAGATTCAGCAACACCAGACTCCGATGAGTCAGAACTTCTGGGGATGCTGAGCTCAGGAAACTCACCGCCCACTGAGGTTTGCGAACAACTGCGTGAGTCTCCTTCTTCTTCGTCCTCTTTGCCTCCTCTCCCGCAGCCTAGGGTCTAGGTCTGAGCACACTGTAGGTGCCCAGGAAATAGTTGCCTGTTGATCGAAGAGGCATCAAACCACGATGGCTGCATTTACTCTTTCTATTGCCTGGACTCTTTGGGATGTGGAGTCAGCATATGCCCCAAACCCTCAGGAACCCCTCTGGTTTTGTCCAAATGTGTACAGTGTGCCTCTAGGTCAGTGGCCACTTTGGAAACGTTTTGTGTCTTCTCCTCTTCAGCCACTGACTGACTGCCCCTGCCTGAGTCAGAATAGCAGGAACATCAGCTGCTGGAAGCTGGCCCAGAGCGACAGGACAGGAGAAAGATCTGTGGGTGGGGACAGGGCTGTGGTGACCTAGCAGCTTTATCCTTGGCTCGCAAAGCCACACCTGCTGCCCTTGGTGGTTTCTTTTGAGTGGCCTGTCTTTCAGCTGTCAGGGCTCAAAGGCTGTCAGATCTGGGGGCAGAGAGCAGTCCCACTGCTGATAGGGGTAAAATTCAGCTGCAGTGGACACACACAGTGCAGCAGCAGCGTCAGGATTTGAATCTGATGTAAACACACTATAGTGGCAACACTTAGCCCCCTCCTTCCCTCCTCTCCCTCCTTCAGCAAGGCCAGCCCACCCTGGGGTGATCCAGGAGAGGTTTCAGAGAGGTGGTGTTTCCTGTGCAACTCCTGAGCCTCCTGCTGCTGGCCCAGCCCTGGGGGAAGAGCTGACAGCTAGAGCAGGTCAGATACCCAATGGAGCAACTCACAGAAGCCCCACCATCCTTCAAAGAGCAGCTGTGTCATCAGGAAGTGTGGGAGCTCTTAGGATAGCCACTGCTGAACGCATTCTGCCTTTCCCGCAACTTCTTTTTATACTTGCTTAGCCCCAGTTTGACTTAATAGAAGTTGAACCAATTCTGAATTAAGTTTGTGTTAAGAGGCACATTGACGCACGGTGACAGGAAAGTGCCCCCCTTAGGTCTCCACCTCATTTTGGCTACAGGAGGTTTGGAAAGCAGAAAGGTGAAATAGAGTGGGTTGGGAATGGGCTTTTTCTCATGGTCTCAGCTAAGAGAAGGGAAAACAGCACAGGTTCCCAAAGCAATGTTAAGGGTGAAGGAGGCTTTTTCATGCATGCTCGTAGCAATCTGACTGTGTTTCCTCTGCAGGCTCCCTCCAGCCGGGTGGGTGTAGGGAGGGCTGCTTTTGTGAGGCAGGGGCATGGGCTCTCAGCAATGGAAGAAAAATGTCTAGTTGTTGGTCTGAGTGTCTTGAGCCTTTCTGGAAGGGTTTAAGGTGAAGAAGTAGCTATGGACAAAATGAAAGAAATTACAAAGCATGAGATTTCAGGGGATGCTAGCCAGCCTGCTGTTTTGGAGGTCTTTTGGGGCGCCTGGAATATTTCCTTACAAGTAACTATCTGTGGTTGGGAATGAGAACAACTGGTCAAAAAGAGCCTTTGTCTAGTTAGAAGCTCTGTCACTTGGATTGTTTACCACGAGGCATTCTTGAGAACTGCAGGATTTCCAAATGGCCACCTACATCATCAGCACTGGTTTTGCAGGCAGATGTAAGGAAGGAAAGAGGCCTTCTAGTTCTCTCCCTGAAGACCATCACTGGAAAGCTCTTTAAATGCTTTCAAGCTCAGAGGAGTTAGATACCCCACATGTGTCTAAGCTGATGTTCCGTAAAGCAGTAGCAAGCATGCCTTCTGTGAAATGTGTTGTAACTTGCTCTTCTTGCTGATGTTACCATGGGTTGATAATTGCATCATTCTGCAGAGCAGCTGTGTGGTTTGGTATAACTGTGAGTAAAACCGCACCAGCTCAGGAAATGCAGTGAATTGTCTTAGAGTGGGCATTATCAAAACAGATGTTGATTTACTTGGAAGGTCCCCTTCCTTGGTGACAACTTGAGAGCTTTGCTGTACATCTAAAGAAATTAGAGTTAAACTGCCCCATTTGCACACTGCTGGAGTGAGACCTGAAAGCCACTCACCAGCTCCTTCCTGTACGTGTTCTCCCTGGAGGCACCATCACATCATGGCACTGTTACCAACTGTGCTCTAATGATGAGCATTACTCTCTCTTTATCTTCAGAGTGTAAGATTATTGGCTCCAGCTTCTTCCCAGATGGCTCCCACTGGATGTTATACAGGTGCTTTGCACTTGAGTCTAAACCTACACCTGTCACTGTCTGGGCTCCCTTTCTGGGTTCCTTGGTTAGAGACACATGATCACCAGCCACCCATCATTAATACCGGGCACCACCCCCTCTACCTGTACTTCATCCAGTGACCACATGCTGTAGTTGCCTCGTGAATATTTTACTGTCTACCCACACTTCTCCAGCCCTTCTCCCTCGTTCTGTTCCAGGCTGTAGCATCGCTTACCTGACTACTCCAGCCACTTCTAAGAGAGTGTTCTTGCCTAAGTCTTCCCTTCCTGAATGCCAGTCATCCTACTATTTTGAGAATTATCTTCCTAAAGGAAAGAACCGATTAAATTCTCCCCATTCTGAAAACCCTTGATGGCATGCAGAAGCATGGAAAAGTATTTCTAATGCAATGTTAAGTGCAAAATTCATGCTTCAAAATGTAGTATATGTACATTGATTACAAAATAATGATGAAAATGTATGTTTGTCAACAAAGACTAGATGTAAGTAAAGCAAAATGAGAATGTTTATAGTATTAGAGTGATGGGCACTTCTTTCTTTAAAAATAATACTCCTTTGGTATTTTCCATGGTAATGACTGAAGATGATGAAGTGAAAGGAAAATTTTAAAGGATTTTTTTACCTTTCCTCCAAGATAAAATGTGAGCTTCAGTCTCACATGACATTCTGTGTGACATACAAGACCCTGAGGGATTGATTATCAGTTTACCGTTTAAATCTCATCTCCATCCCTCCCATCTGTCCACACAACACTCCTTTCTAAACATAGTATATATGTGCATAACCATGCCTTTCTTCATGCTGGTTTTTCTGTATGAAATTCAGTTTCTCTACTCAGTCAACTCCTCATTCATGCAGCCGAATGCAAAGATCCCCTATTCCTGGGTTAGTACCATTCCTGTGGATGGCTCATGAGGGTGGAGGTTGGTTTATTTTCAACTGTGTATACCAATCCTTAAGCCCATTCCTGTACATAATATAGCATAATAAATATTTGGAAGATAAGAAAGAAGGAAAGAACTCATTTAGAAATATATAAGTAATCCCTCAGGTTAGACTTAACCATTTCAGATTTAAGCTCAGTGCTAATTACTATGTTGTAAAAATAACAGAAAGTAGATGCTTACTTTTGGTTAAATCAAGTTTTCGCCAAAGTAGCTGGATGCAGCTTCAGACCCTTGTCACTAAGCTAGTAGAGTGAATCTTTGGTGTTTGTTCTAACAGGTAGAATCACTATAGCATCTCATTGTCCTATTTTTAATGTTATTAGAAATTGCTTTTTTAACTGTTTTATGTCATGGAAAATCATATCAGTCAAATCAGAAATCCAAAAAAATGACACATCCAGTGCTGGCAACATAATACAAATAAGTGATATTTTCTTCATCAGGGGATTTTAAAAAGCCAAGACTTAGATAACATTAAAAGATGCATGTAACATTTTCCATTCTGAAAGGCTATTCTACTCTAGGAATATACTTGTTACTATTTTTTCATTTCTAAGAATTCTATTTGGTTAAAATAGCAAAGGAGAAGAAAATCTTGGCTTAAATAAAATGAAAAGTCATCTCCAAAATTAATTTGGCATCCTCAAAAGTTCCTTTCCAAAGGAAAGGAGGAGTAGGATGTCTTTAATATCACATGTTAAAAATGCCACTAAAAAATCATCATTTGTACTTGGGAGCAAGGAATTCAGAATGGGAATTTATGGAGATCAAAGTCTGAGGTATGTTACACATCTTTTTAAACAGTATTTTGATATCAAGGGAAGATTGTTTAATATTATACATTCTTTTATGATATATACTATACATGTAACATATATTAGAGTCAGTAAGTTGGAATAGAGAATTTTAATTTGATATTTGGTACTTCTTTTGGCCTGTTATCCTCACCCAACGTTCAGTTTTCTTGCCTATAAGGTTGTGGTGAAAGTTGGGCCACTGTTAGTTAATAACCGATTAAGAAAGTGGTCAGTCAGCAAGATGTATTGATTGACTGCTGACTTGGAAATATGAAATACCATGTCACTTTTCAGCATTTGGTGTCAGTCAGTCTTTGTTTTGCATAGTGAAAAACATTTGCTGCATTTCTTATTTTTCTGTTCTGAGCATTGTCTTTCTTAAAAGCCTGACAATTTGGCTGTTTCAAAGATCTGCCAAGAGATTTACTGTGATTCAGGTGAATGAATGCAGACTCTCAGCTCCCCTTCAGTTACTCTTTGGTGTGTAGCCAGGGGCTGCATCCTTTTCCAGTTACTGCTGCAGTTCATTTACCAGGAGGTGCCGGCAGTTGAATTGCTCATTTGTGAAAGCCAGTACTCGAAAGCATCCTAAATGCCTTGTGAGAAAACTCAAGAAGGCAAGAGACTGCTGCAGTTTTCCTCACAGCTTCAGGTGTTTGCCGATGCAGTAGGCACTTCTCTGGAGCTGCCCTCTGCAGACCAGGGATATGGGGCCGTGTGGTGTGTTGGGACCATATCCTTTCTTTGAGTTGTCCAGTGCTGGTTAGCACAGCAGAAGTGTCTGAGCAACAGGTGTCTCAGTTAGGAAGCCTATAAAGGTGACGAAAACTCACCATGAAACTTTAAGTATCTAAATACAGAGCAGAATACTGTGATCATCATCAGTTGTCTTAGTGGTACCTGATAACCTGCAATCATGCTGTTGGGAAATAGAAGGGGGTGTGTAAGAGCATAGGTTTTCCAGGCAAACTTCCTAGGTGTGAACACAAATCTGCTGCTTAATGTTGAGCAAGTTGCATACCCTCTTTGGGTCTCAGTGTAAAATCCAC